TCTTTTAAGTTCATTTTATTCTGTCTTGGTTTGTTAACATTCAGGAAGATGTTGAAACTATTGATAGACTTATAGCTGATGGTGAAGCATCCTACAATAAGTGGCGGCACCCTGATCCTTACATTGGTATGTTTCTTTATGATTTTTGTATCAAACAACTGCACTTCGATCCCAAGCAAGTTGAAGTTTGCTATATGAATCCTCACTGTCTATGTATTCTTTGTGAGTTTTTCGCTATTAATAAACTGGATTTTCAATCCAATGAACCACAAAAATGTTAAGGATATGTCGGAGTCTGTATTATATGAGATACAGGTTTTGAACTGAATTAGGACCCCCCAGGGTGTGGGTTTTGGTCTAGTGGAGAGAGAGCAGCTTGTACTGTGTGGGGTTAGGCGCATGTCACAGATTAAAGCCTGGTATTTTAAATTATAAAAAAAATGGCTGGTATTTTGAGTGAAGGGTAGGATGGAGCCCATTTTCCACTGAATTTCAAAATGTCACTACTGGCAAGCAGGGATTTCTCAGCCATCAACAAGAAGCCTTGAAATTATAGCCGGCATAAGTTCTGTTGAAATCTTTCACATCTTCCCAACTGTTAGGGGTGCTAAGTTCTTAGACCTAGGGAGTATTGTTTTTTCATATGAAAAAAGACTGCCTCTAATGATGAAATGTCTTGTGGATCACGAGAAAAAAAGGAAGAAAAGAAAAATATCTGCAGGATATGTCTCATCTAAATTTTTATCTATGTTGAAGTTTGTAGATGCTAATTGATAAGTGATTACCTTAAGTCTTGTCCTACTTACCTTTGCATGTTTCCTTGTTGGATTGTGTGATGATCTTTTTTGTTCATACAACTTTTGTCAAATGTTAACAAGCAGTAAACAGATTGCCTTTATAATTTTTTTTAATGTGAAGTATTAGTTTTTGAAAGGATAGTCTTTTGATTTTTTGACACACTTCGGAAATGTGGTAAATTGTGGAAATATGAAAAGTTGAGTGAACTATTTTATGCTTTAGACTTCTGGTAATAGTTTGTCTTTCAATGATGAGCAGTTCCATGGGCACCTGGTGGTTCCAAGTTCAACAGAAATCCAGTGCCGCCAGAAGGGGTAATTTGCTTAGACATTTATTTACATCACGGACAATGTTTCAGTTTATGCTAGTTGCTTTAGCCATTTACTTTCCTGTTTCGTCAGTTTTTGCAACCATCAGGAGTACTCTTCAACTGTTAATTTTTCTATCTGTTGACAACTTGCTAATTCATTCTTCTTTAAATGTCATGACATGTGAAGATCTTTATTTTCTCATCGTGATTTGCTATCTGACATTTTATCCTTATTGTCCTACATTTATATGACTACAACGGGTGGTTTATGCCAATTATATTCACAACTTAAAATAGTTAAAACTGTCAAAGAGGGAGCTTATCAAAAAGATGTCACATCAACATCATAGGAATACGATGTCATACTTGGTTGTACTACTGGTAATTACTAGATGAAAATCTATGACAGTAGCAAGAAAAGTAGGACAAGGATATTCTGATGAAAGGAGTAGATGCTCTACTCCCTCCATACAAGTCAAGTCCTTGTTTGAACCTGCTTGTGATCATTAAAGAGTAGTAATTTTTTACTATTGAATAGTTTTAAGTATTCAGGATGAGTTGCTGCCATATTTCTGGTTGTCCCTATTTCCCATTTCCTTCCTAGGGATCCACTCAGACATGTGTCCATGTATTTTCTTCATCTTCGAGTAATTTGAATTGGGAATAGTTGTGGTCCAAAAGATTAGTGTTGGAGTGGAGTAGATCTGGATTGATGTTTGTCCAAATGTTACACACTTACACCTACCTCTATGCTCTCTCTCTCCCCTGACCCACTTAACCTGACTCAATGTGTAAAAAATTATCTGAATCCAGATCTCATCCATTTAGGACCATATTTGACCCAAAAAGGGTTCCCCTACGAGGGAGCCAGAACAACAAAGTAAAAGAAGGATCAAACTTGTTGGATATGTATGGTCCAAATGCAATCACTTTGGTGTCTTTTGTACTAGGAAGTTACAAATTTACAATACAACTGTATTAGTTTTCTTTGTTTGGGTGTGTAATGGAGTTGATGTAAATGCACAGAAACTATGATAGAGTTCACTAGTTCCTACAGAATCGACAATACTTTTGTTTCTTTGCTTTTTGTATCTGCAACACCAACTTGGTGCTGCAGAGGTCAAGAAATCACTATTTACCTTTTCACATAAGAAAAATGTTATTTGATGTCAATTGCCGCCCAAATTCTTCTGTTCTTGTTAAACCAGGCAGACTTCATGGATCCCTTATGTTTAATAACTCCTTGACGTTTGATGCAGATTGAGATAGTGTATGACTATGGCAAGGAAGAGGCTGAACTAGTATGATATTCTCCCATGAAATGAATAAAAGGTAGAATCTTCACACATTTGCGTTTCTCAATACTCTCATCATGTTTATCCCCTCTGTTGCTTCCCCCACCCCAACAACTGAAGAGGACACCCCAACCACCTGTAAAACTAGTGGAAGAAAATTCTGGCCTGAGTTTTGGTAAATTTTGAGCTAGTAAACTATTGTCGGCTAACTGGGCATACACGACATCTGTTTTAGTTTCAATTATCACCTTAAACATGTCAATGAATAAAAACTGAACAACGTCCATGACATTGGTAAGGATCTATATTTGTAAATTTTGCCATTTGAGTGAATAATTTCATTTTTTTGGGTTGCAGGTTCATAAAGTTGTGGGCATTCAAGGAGAGTTGCATCCAGTCCTGTCTTCTTTTTTAGTGATTCCATCTAGCTTTGAACAATGAAACGTTAAATATGTTTTCTGGTTTGATATTTAGAGAAATGGGAATTGGCAACGGCACTATGCTCACTTAAAATTGACCGTTTAGTAGTTGTGAGCTGCATACCAAGAATTGCAAAAATAAATGTCAGATTTTGATTTGAAATAGACCAAGTTGAGGATTTGTTTGGCTTACAATTTGTCGAATTTCAGTAATCATTATTCATGTCTTGACCTTCTTTTTAAAAGTATTGTGAGCTATCATTAATGTATTGTTGTTTGAACAGTTTCTTTCTTGTTATAAAAGATTGTATACTTGCCTTTATTGCAATAGTGACGGACAAATAGTTGTCCCATTTGTTTGGCAGACGGAATAGATATGTAGTTGTACACTCTTGGATTTGAAGGGAGATGAAATGAAAGATACATAGTAGAGCAAGCAAAGTCGCATTAGATTGATGTCTTGTCTTATTCTTATCTATCAACCTAAAAATCAGCTAAAAGGATTTATAACAGTGACTTTTCCTACTTCACATTGGCTTTTCACATGAACTAAGTTTTAATCATCTATAACAACCTTAGCAAAGTTTTGATAGAGTTGTAAACTACAGATGGCTTTGCTACTCATGCATTGGGTTTTGGTTGAACTCCGTACGTGTTTTTAATGTGTATTAATCAAATGGGACCATCGCTAATTAGTCATTAGATCTAAAACTCATAATCTCTTACTGGCCTTTGCATCAATTGATCCTATAATGTATAAAACCCGCAAAGGGTTCTTCATAATAGCAAAATAATGCTACATTTGCACTTTGCATGCGTCCCCTTAACATATGAGCATTCAAACTTATTATGGTTCATTCGACTACTATGTCAAAATGCCCTGATGCACTGTATAAAATTTGTACATGATTTTCATTGAACAACAAACGAATGCAAGAAAAAATTCAACCTAAAATCATCTTTTGTATTTCACTTACACGGCATAAGAGAGCAGCCTATTAGCTCTGGATTATGAAAGACGCACAATTCACCTTCTTTAAAAGAGGTGTCATATGTTGTTATTGCATATTCTATAAGAACGAGCAAACTCATATCTCTGCAGACATGTATGTATCACAGTGTATACGTCAAAAGATTAATTTCACCAGAAAACAGTAATTGGCAAAATCATTGAACATCACATTTCATTGTTCTCCATTCCATTCTCTCTGTCATATCAATTCTAACATCTACTGACAGAGTAGAGAGGAGATCATATAGGCCCTTTGCATAATTGCACTCTTTTGCCTTTACTTTGAATATGTGAATACACCATTATGTATGTACTCCAGCATCAGCATGAGTATTAAGTCAGTCGACTGTCACTTTAGAAAGGTGTCAAATCTCTTCCACAAGTTGATCTAATGAGATAAACTGTCAATAGGCGAGAAGATCTCTTGCTCAGCATCAACTTTTAAAGAAATCGAGAGGATGGATGCCATACACACGAAAACATGAAGTTCAATGTTGAAAGCTGCAGAAAACTCTCCTGCAGTTTCATCAAGTCAATTAACTCTACCCTGTCCCTCCCCAAGGATGTTTTAAGGAGAGTTATGCAACTTTTTCTTAAAAAATTTCTCTCTAGATCGAAGATTAGTTTGATTCCACCCATCAGACCAGTTCTGCCAGAAGTGGCTGAGTTCCAAAACTATAGACACACCCTTCAAGCCAAGCAACTACTATTAACAACATGAAAAAAAGCAAATTCATATCCTTTTTTCTTCTTTAGCCTATATTTTAATTTGAATCTCACACTATCTTAACTCGGGCACAAGAGTCGATCAGCTCATAAGGTCATATCAATCAAGGAAAACAGATATATATCACCCCACAATATTTACTGCAGGATAACTAGAGCAACAAGTATCTCTTATACCCCAAATTTGGACAACCGAGATGCTGATATCTATAAAGATTAGATCTTTATTGATGAGCAGTAGCTGAGATAACTAAATCGGGATCTTCAGTTTTTCTGGACTAAAATACATGCAAAACCATAACAGTCCCAAACCCGGACAGAACAGGAAGGTTTTGCCTTAGGTCGACAGTTAATGTCGTTAAAAATAGTCAAACTACGATTCATATAGCTTACCCCAACTGAATTTGCACAGTGGAGCTAAGTTGTGTTATAACACCAAATAACCAAAAGTGATTTTGATTAGGCACCGATTAATCAGTGTCCTTCGTGAAACAGACACAGTAATTCAGCATTTATTCTCAACTCCTAATTCTAGAATGCCATATGGAATGCAAATCGTAAGGCTAAACAAAGCAATTGAAACACAATTTTGCCCAGACGTCAGTACATTCAGATTCATCATAAGAAAAACATAATCTATCTTCTAATGGCAAAGAGAAACAAGACTAGATTTTTTTTGAAGGGTACAGAAAATGAAATCAAATGAGTTTGAAAGGAAGAGGCCAAGGTGTAGACCTGGGGACCTCAACTTTATCCTTGATGCGTTCAATTTTCTTCTCCTTTTTAGGTCTTGAATTTCCATACGAATCTTTGAATCTCTTCCCTTTCTTCGTCCTCTTGTCCCCTCGTCCGCAAAGGATCGGACCTCCCATCGCCGCCGACGGAGCAGCTGAAGATGAATATGCCATTCGTTGCTCCATAACAGTCATCAGTCTCCTCGCTACTGTGCTGCACCACTGTGTCATCGCCATCTCCGATTTTACCCTGTTTCCCTGTACCTTAAACCCTAGCCCTGAACTGGAAATTCCCACACCAAAATAAAATGAAGAAAGAAAAGGGGAAGATAGAAACTCTGATTAAATTTTTTCTTTTTGATTTCTTTTTCTACCATTAAGTACGAATTTAACAGGTTTTCGTTTTTTTTTTATAATTTTGAAAAAATATTAGATGATTTTTTAATTATTACAAATTTAATTATATAAATTCAGCAATATGCTTAGAAATAAATCGATTTTCTGCTACTGGATTGCCAAATAATGTTTTTTTAAAAAAAATTATTTTCGATATTTATTACTTAAATATTCTCGTACGAGGCATTATCTAATTTACTAACAATATATGTTCACTCACTAATCAACTATACGAAATTTATTTTAGAAAATAATTGTTGAGATATATTTTTTTGGAAAAATGATTTTTCGATATACCAAAAGTCAATGTTGCTAGTTAATTTAACTATAGTGTCATCTTTATTTTATCTTATTTTTTCCTTTTTAATATATTTAAAGGAGATGTCACTAAATGATCATTTTATACATTACACATCTTGAATTTAAAATCCCAAGCTTGTGAGAAAGTTTCTTCAATCTTCTTAAATTTTGGATCGAGTTGGCCAACCATTCTGGATGTGCTCCTCAATTAATTAGGGAGTACATCATTCCATCATTTGCAATGAAAATCAAATTGTATAAAATATAGTCAACAAGTTGCACATAATTAAGATATTTGACTGACAAAAGAAAAGGTTAATACGCAATTAACCCCTCAAGGAGTATTTTTTCCCAGAGAAAGCCTGAAACTTGGGCTCTTCTTTCTTTTGAGGTTCCTCTTTCACAGGTTCCTGCATATGAACAAGAGCATTAACAGGCTGAGACTAGCAAGCTTCTGACAAGTAAAGATTTTTTAAAGGACTTATTTATTAGCATATAGAGAGAGAGATAAAACCTTCTGTTTTTCAGGAGCGCGGTTTGCATTTGAACCAAATACAAGCTTCCCTTGTGACTGACGACTAGAGCTTTGGGAGCTTGGAGCAGCAGCAGATTTCTTACCGCCATTAGTAGCGTTGACTTGCTTATCTGAGGACCCAGAAGAGGAAGAAGATGGTGGAAGCTGCTGTTTTAAGGGTTTACCATCCAAACGCCTCGCTCCACCAGTAAAAGGGTTGAATTTTGGCTCAACAACTTCTGTTGCATCCTCTTGAACTGCATGAGAGAAGAATTGTTAAGCTATAGAAAGAAGTGTAGAAGTTCTGCAGTAACGAGTAATCTATAGGAAGAAACAATTATGGGTGAGAAGTGAAGTCCTAGAACTGCACCATAAGGGCGAAATAAAATTTGCCAAACATTGTCACCAAACATCCCAACCTGGAAGTATCATAGTATTTTGCATTTCCAAGAAGTCCAACTAAAAAAAGAAGGATGATGCATTCTTGATCAAAGATTTTCCGGTTCTGGATATCCAAGTACAATATATACTGTGAACAGCATAAATTTACAGCACTGAAGTCGCAAGCTTAGGGCATTGGGGCCTGGACTGCCTTTTTTAACCACAGACGATGGGCAATTCCAATACCCAAGCAAGCTCTAGTGTAATTAAGAATTTGTAGAACTGATCTCTACAACCATACAAGATACTGCCTCCGTCTCAATAAGATGCTGTCCATTTGAATAGTATAAGATAAAGAGTTTGAATAGATTTTAGGAGGTGATCATCAGTATTTCCCAAAAAAAATTAATATGTTCGAAATGTGAAATCACACGCACAATCAAATAATTTAAGCAATATGTCCAGTGTTGTCAAAGGCATGCTTAAACCCTAAAGTGAGGCTCAACACATGTTAAGCGCTTTGCTGCTTAATGTACGATTCTATGTCATCATTAAGGCTAAAAGACAAAAAAAAATTCCTTGTAAATGAGGGTTTCTTGAAGAGGTGACTCTACACAATTGGTATTTCACTTTATCCTAAAATGGCTTTTTGATAACACTGATATGTGCTACTATTAGAATTTATGAAGACAGTAATTAACTTCAGAAAATTTGAAGAATATGCACCTTCTGCTGGAGAGTTGCTTGGACGAGAAGGAGCCGTTCTTTCAGGTTCTTTGTAATCAAGTGGGGGAGCAAAGTCTACTTCACAGTCTGTCTCAATAATACTTATTCCATTAGAAGGTTTGGTCTCCACAATATCTATATAGTATTTTTTATTGTTGTAAGCCACCATAATACTATCTCCTGTGGTTAAGCAGGAAAAGTTTCTGAGTGTCGTCTCCAAGCTGCATCAGTAAAGGAAAGAAGTCAAAACTTTAAACCTCCTATTAGTATGCAGGTATTTTGCAAATGAAATTAGATTAATAAACAACTGAACAAGCAAATATCGGTTAGACCAGTTAGCAGATGTAATTCTCCTAATTCAAATTAAAAAATGAAAATAATTTTTACTTGTCAATCATCTCACTTAGCTATGCTTAGCCCTCAAGCATGAAGTCTCACACAAATAATATAGTAGCAATTATAGAAAGGTGTAATACTATGAATTTGGTCATCAAGAAGTCAATCCTGAGCATATTCATAAATTTAACACAGAAAGGACTATATATATTCATGTCTGATCTGTCAAAATTTCGACCACTACATTGGACCATCCTTTTCTCTCAATGTAAAAGAATAACGAGAAAAACTAATTGGGAAGTATTTGAAGCTAAGAGCACTCCCTGCATGGATCTCTATCTCCTCTCCTAGGCCCTCCTTCTATACTTAAATACACGTCAGACAAAAGAACTTCAATCCAGGATAACATAATGTTTCTCGTATTCCAAAGACACCCCAATTTGTAATTCTAGTTCTACAAGGAAAATTTTACCTCATAAACCATCTCATAGAAAGTTCAATCCAGCAATAAAGAGGTGATATTGCTCTATGAAGTTCTTATACATCCCAATTTTTTTTAAAAAATTCTTATACATCTTATTGCTAAAGCAATCTCACTTTAAAATTAAGATAGATTTTAACTCATTAACAATAACTAGTGCATTGTGGCATTAGACTAGTCAAACTCTAATATTTAGTAATTATCTATCTACAACAACAATAAATTGTAATCTCAGTGATCCCTCCTAAATGTTTAAATACAAATTGTCCTCAAATTCCTCTTTAACCCAAGAACGTGGATTGACTTCATCTTCTTATTTTTTACAACACCCTACTCTCCTATTTTGATGACCACTATCTCTTATACTTGTTTCCAATTTATTCTCGTACTTCTCATGTTCTTTTCCAAACTTGTCAGGTAAACTTATTACCGAGAAAATGTGATACTTTTTCAATAATCTGTTAATATTAGAATAAGCTATGGAACCTACTTTTTTAATTTGAAGAAGCACTAACTAATTTCAAAAAGATTACTTCATCCAGAGTCTTAAACCCACTTTCATTTTTACACAAGTTTCAATTCTTAACTCAATCATCATGCCCCACAAAAAGAGTGTGAAGAACACTTCTTTTGTCTTTGCTGATTTTTCCTTTTGATTGTGCCATGAATTATATAAATTATGCAGAAACATTTGTTGCTACCCAAATACTAACATAAAATGGAACACAATCCACAGAAAGTTACTAAAAAGGAAAAAAAACTTCAGCAAACTTACATGGCCTTCGGGTTAGAAATATCCAGAAAATCCTTCGTGTGGGGTTGCAGCTTGACATATTTACCCTTAGGAAGAGTTACATTTTTCACTGTCACAGTGTCGCCTTCTTGTAGGCATAAATTTTCCATCATCTACAAGGTCCACATTAAAATGAGTGTATGCACAGTAGTCGAACTGAAACCAAGAAAATAGAATTACACAGAAATGAGCTGTACCCAATATGGCATATATATCAAGCCCTCTTCTGCAATGAACTCCAAAACCCCACAGTGAGAAACCCGTTCCGTGGAATCATTTCGAAGCTCAAACAACATTGGATAATCAATATGAAGTGATGCTACAAAATTTTACATTCAACATTGACTACGGTTAAGAAAAGAAACAGCTGCCAACTGAAAAAGTGCAAAATTTAAATAACTGAAAATGCCCAGATACAAGAACAAGGATACTGACCTAGACGATCAAGAGCAGAGGGAGGCATTATAACTGGGAAAAAAATAAAGAAAAAACAATATAAGACTTAAAGCTCGAATAACCTTCCGCAATTACAGAAAAGAACTACTGACATTACTTACTTTTGTCTCCATTTTCTATTTGTGGCTGCAAAGATGGAACATACATAATCAGCAAAAGGAAAAAAAAACAAACAAATACCAAGCAAAAATAAATTGCAGTGGGAGAAGTGATATGTGGGACAAACATCTGAAATACAAATTTAATACACATAGAAGACCCATCTCCCACCACATATATATAGCATATAGGTAAAAAAAGAAAGACTTCTTTCAGCGTACAACTATACCAAGAAGAACTACTAAACAGTTAAATTGTTCCCTCTTCACCTTAATAAAAGAAAATTCATTCACTCCCCAACCCCTTTCTCTACAATAACAACAAAATGTGAATGATGCAACCAGCTGAAATAAGATGTAATGGAACTTAAAAATAAATTTTGAGGAAAGCTCTTCTAGATATTTATCTCAAAATAAATCATAGACCTACATTAGAAGAATGAAAAATTAAAATAACCTAAGCAAAATTTCGTGAGCATGACAATCTAATGGAAGCTAAAGGAATGAGACAATTATGGTGAAACCATCACAGGTAATTACCACAGTAGATTAGAGTAGTAAATGAAATTTGTCTTTTCAAAAGCATTCCAACCTTATCAATGAAAGATGCAGGATAGCACCGGTAAGTCTGCTCAAATGATCGTCCATGATATCCATATCCATCAAAAAACTGCAAATCACAAATAAAAAAGTACCAATAATGACGAATGAAGATAACACTAATGACACAGATATATGTCAATAGGGTCAGTGGTAGTCTTTTAAGTAAAGGCTATGAAACAGAATTAAATAAACAAGATCACTGCCTTCAAGAAAGGAAATGCCCCTTCGAAGGTAGATGTATTTAATGATTGCCTGTGTTTACGGAAGCTAAAAGAATATCAAG